AAAAAAAAAAAAAAAAAAAAACCCCCCCCCCCCCCCCCCCCCCCCCCAAACCGCAGCTTGTTGTGGGGTATACAGAGCATAAGCACGAAATAAACATTCTCAACAATTTTGCACAACAGCTTCATAGTCACATTCGCAAAAATTGTTCGGAGTTCAGACAAGACTCAGGGGGGATCTGGTGCACTGAAATGCAAACAACTTTTGCACGAGTTCACCTCATTATTGCTTTGGAAGATGAAAAATAAAGCCAAAAAATCAAACTAAGGCATACCCCTTTAAATAACTTGTTAACCCCAATTTACACCTCTCCCCCCCCCCCCTCCCTCTCCTCCCTCCCCAACCACAAAAACTGAAAACAAAAGAAAGCCCAGATTTGGGATGCTTCCAGTGGGCACAGAAACGCCCCACCAGAGGGGAAAAGAAAAGAGAAAAACAGATCCCGGACTTTTAACATGCCCGAGCTGCTGAGCGTGTCACCCAACTGACTGGCCATGCATTCCACCTAACCTAGCTCTCTACTCAGGGCCTTGGTCCATTATTCAACATTCTGCATGCATCTGGACGCCTTTCTGGACGAGTTGCAATCAAATTCATTCAACATCTGCAAGTGTTATGGATTCATTGGCGGGCATACACACACTAGGACTTTTTTGACTCGTCAACGGACGTAATTACGGTCGGTTCCCTGGACCTCATTACGGTTGGGTTCATGCAGTAGAAGCCACAACTTCTGGATACATCCAGTAAAGCCCTAGTGTGAGTACGCTCTCAGCAGAGGCTGGAAAAAACTGCATGAAGCAGTGCACATACCAAACGGAGGTGGTGCAAGTACGACTTGGGCTGGATGCTTATCGCAGAACTGAGCAGATCAATTGCTGCCTGGTTGTCGCCATTCGTAAATGCCAACCACCCAAGCTCTCCCACAGCCCAGTCGTTACGATCATCCCATTCGACAATTTCTTCCAGCAGCTGCCGCCCCTCAGCATCCTTTCCTGATCGCAAACACACCCCTGCAAGTCCCTTCACATCCGCATCCATATGCACAAAACCATCCAACGGTGAGCATGTTTTTTACCTTTTTTTTAAAGAAAAAAGGGGCAACGGCCTTGATATATCATACATGTGAGCAACTTCATTTTTATTATTACAATTTTTTAAACACTGGGCCCCACATGACTGGGGCGAATACCCGGCTTAGGCTAGTAAGCTGCGAACAATTTTCGTGAACGCGCAAGCACAAAGAACCCCCCAAATGCTTGCCCATAGTACCCATACCATTTGGCTGAATGGTATGGGTTCTTATCCGGCTTAGGCTACTATGCGTCTGCATTCAATTCCACTATAAGCACACGTAAGTGACATAACTTTTATGTGAATTATGTGTTCGAGCCGTGGTGGAATTGGATGCAGACACATAGTAGCCTAGAATAGTTCATGAAGCTTGGCAGCCATGGCTCTCAAAAGAAAGGGAGGGAAAAAGTAAAAAATAACCAAATTTGGAACGATACCGAGAAGATTAGCATGTCCTCTGCGCAAGGATGACACACATAAATCGGGTAAAGGACTAGGCCACCAGAGTGGGTGGGGACCACTTGCCCGGCCGGCTCGGTTACCAGAGTCGCCCGGGCAGGCAACCCGGGCGAAACTTGCACGGGGGGCGACCTGCAAAGGGGTACGATAAAATTTAGTATTTCATTTTTATTTTTATTTTCGGATTCCATCGCGAATTTTGTGGTCACCCTCTCTTTGCAAATGATGTTTGGTTGGCAACTCTGCATGACTTCTTATTTTCCCCAGATTTTTTTTTATTTATTTTTTTGGTGCTCTGGGACTGCCCGGGACCTTGACCGGGACTTTGTCCGGACCTGGCCCGGCCGGACCACCCGGGCCCCGCCCGGCTAGTAACACAGCAGGCCGGGTCAAGAAAATTGAAAAAAAAAAAACAAAAAAACATATATTTGAAAGGCTTTCCACGATTCAGACCCCAAATTCGGATCTCAGGGTTCGAAGTTCGAACTTAGATGTCCAGGTCAAGAAAAGGCCGAGTCTGTCAAACTCAGAAAAGTCACAATCGGGTACCTCAGCAGTCTGGTCCAACAGGCGCCCAGCAAACAGTCACATCTCAGGGACGAGAGTCACGTCTCATAATGAAAGCCATTCAAAAGAGTCACACCCCACGAGTGAAAAGGCAGATTCACAAGTAGGAGTCATGTCTCAAAGGCAGGAGTCACGTTTCCTAATGAAAAATCATATTGAAGAGTCACATCCCTCGAGTAAAGGCAGTATCACAGGCAAAAGTCGTGACCAACAGGCAGGAGTCACTATCCACAGTCAAAAGTCATGTTCACAAGTGAAAAGTCATGACTCAAAGGCCCAAGCAGCAGCCGTCCAATGGAAATTCGGGAAGGTTCCAGGCCTTGACATTCAGAAGCAGACAGGCCGTAGGGATGTGGTACCGAGACCAGTTAGGCCCCAGGAAGCAGAGGCTGGCACGAGTTGAAGTGCATTTCAAGACTACAAAAGGACTGGCCAGCCTACCATTCGGGCAGATGCTCGTTCACACGAGAGTGTGGAAGTGCTTGTGCACTTGTGCGCTACCTTCTTCCCCCGAATACAACGTACGGTCATTATAGCTGTTTCTAGACTGAAAGATGTCTCAAATGCAGATATAATGACCGTACGTTGTATTCGGGGGAAGAAGGTAGTGTGGGAGCTGCGCTATGCCAGAGAGCAGCGCTGAGCGAGATGAGAGAGAGGAAGTAGACGCTGGCAGAGAAGAAGGCAGCCATAGCTGCGCCAGCACCAGGAGGCAACGTAGTTAGAAATTATAAGTAATAAGGCAGTGAGTAGTATTCAGAGTTGATCCTCATGTGTGTGTTAGTAGTAGGGAGTGCGCATGAAAGGGAAGAGGAAGACTGAAGAGTGAAGACCAGAACCATCAAGTGAGAAAGAGAGAAAAGAGGGAGAGAGAGTAAGCTATGGTGGATACTTACCTGAAGAGTTTGGAACTTGGTGTTGGTGACGAGCGCTGATGAGCGCAGATGCTGAGACTCTTGATGATCGAAGCAGGCTTGTAATCCTGTGAAGCACTGGACAGTTGAACTCTTGATACCGAAGCGAAGCCCCGGTGAACGGCGGCCGTAACTATAACGGTCCTAAGGTAGCGAAATTCCTTGTCGGGTAAGTTCCGACCCGCACGAAAGGCGTAACGATCTGGGCACTGTCTCGGAGAGAGACTCGGTGAAATAGACATGTCTGTGAAGATGCGGGCTACCTGCACCTGGACAGAAAGRCCCTATGAAGCTTTACTGTTCCCTGGGATTGGGTTTGGGCTTTTCCTGCGCAGCTTAGGTGGAAGGCTTAGAAGGTCTTTTTCCGGAAAGACTGGAGCCATCAGTGAGATACCACTCTTGAGAAGCTNCGCAGCTTAGGTGGAAGGCTTAGAAGGTCTTTTTCCGGAAAGACTGGAGCCATCAGTGAGATACCACTCTTGAGAAGCTAGAATTCTAACCTTATGTTGTTTCCGGCTAAGGAAAAGTCTCAGGTAGACAGTTTCTATGGGAGGCCTAGCTCTCTCTATAATCTGGTTGTGATAATTCTGCTTGAGATAATTGAGCTGCGTTTTTCTGGTCTACTACTCAACTCCTCTTTGTGCAACTGTGTGACAAGACAATCTGTGTGACATGTATGCTGGTGTGAGCACTCCATCGTGTAGTGAGCGTTGAGGCTCATTGCATTTTTTTTTTTGTTGGTCCTTGCACGGCCGGGCCACCGGAGCAGAAATTGGCTGTAATTAATTCCTTTCTCCACCGTGCAAAAACGTATTCGTCAGTCGAAGGCATGGTGTTTCCCTTCCTCCTTGCACTCAAGTGCGAATTGTGGAAGAGGGGGTATCCGGATGTGTGCTTTGACTCGGCGGTGACTCATTTCTTGAGGAAATTCAGTGGACTGTCGCGGGATTGGTTGCCTTTCTTGACTGGGTGGAGTCGTAAGCTGAGAGAGATCAGGTACTTTGAGGACACCCGCGCTTAGGGGTCTGTTTTCTTGTATGTTCTTTTGTTTCCCCGTGCTTAGGTGGTCTTTTTTCTGCGTAGGTTCCGTTTTTTCTAAATGTCTGAGTTGTTGTTCTTTTTGGCTGGTAAGACGTGAGAAGTTGGTGATTGAGGACTTTAATACCGTATCGACTGTTTTCGACTTGTTTTTTGGTAGTCTCTGTTTTTCTAGTGTATTTGTTGTTGTTGTTGTTGTTGTTTCTTCCCCATGTTTACGGGGCCTCTCCTCCTCTGTATAGGTTCCGTCTTCGAAGTATTTTGAGCAGTTGTTCCCTGTGGTTGGTAAGACATGAGAAGTTGGTGATTGTGGGACTTGAACACCGTATCAGTTGTGTTTGAGTTGTTTGCTGGTATTCCCTGCTTTTCTAGTATAGCTTCTTTTCGAGTGATTCAAGTGGTTGAGGGGATTCGGAAAAATTGGTTCGCAGCTGATTCTGTACTGGCCAGTTGAAATGTTGTGTCGGCGGTCTTTCTTCAGGTGGCCTTCTCGTATATATAGTCTTTGTAGGCTACTGTCCATCAAGTGACTTTAGACCCCTGAAGAGCAGGGCTGGTCCCCGGATGGACTGGGGACCCCTACCCCATCCGTGGTTCTCCCTGTTGGACCGGCCGGTGGCCCGGGCCGGTTCCCTCCCGGTTGCCCCCAGCGCATTTTTGATGGGGCCTGAATTTTTCTTTTTGCCGGCGCGTATGATTTCCCGAGGCCTCGTGGGGGTGGGCCCTGCCCCGCAATTTCGAAACCGGGTCCTCTAGGACCGGATTTTTCAAGTCCAAAAAGTGGCCAATCTTGGCCGCCAATCGTCGCAGATCAGCGGCAAAGATCGGCCAGGACCCCATTTCTTAAGAAAAACGGGCAGAGGATATCCGCCGCTGATCTTTGCAGGTCAGCAGCGGAGAACCGCCATACATTTTTCTGATCTTTGCACCTTGAAATTTTATTGCGGATTCCGACAGCTCTTAAAGAGCGCAGTCGGAATCTGCCGGAAAAAAAAAAAAAAAAGATATTTGGGCACTTTTTTTTCAAAACCGGTTTCCTGGTTCACCCCCCCCGGGCTGGTCCGGTTCCGGTTGGACCGGGGTAGCTCAACCGGCCGGTTGCCGGCCCAGCACTGCTGAAGAGTCCTGCTAGGCGGCCAGGCGAAACCGGTCGGGTCGTAACGCCGGTCAGAGCTTTTCCCGACAAGTGTGCTTCATGATTATTTTTTCGTAACTAAGTCGCGTTCGGGACACCTGTCTATCTGTATGGTGTGCTTCTTCTTCCTTGTATACATCTTCTTCTTCTGCTTTCTTCTTTTTTGCTGTTGTGCATTTGAGGAATAAGATTACGGCCATCTTTTGTCGTCGCTGTATGCGTGACATACACCGGGGCAAACAAGCTGACCCGAGCGGGCCCGCTGGTAAGCTAGGTAATGGTCCAGGTTATTGATTAAAAAAAAAAAAAAAAAAAACGAGTCTAGACTCCTGGGCTAGATGCCTCTCATCTGCTCCCAATAACCTTTGAAAAAGCGAGAATCACCAACAGGACAAAAAAAGGTTAAAACTTAAAAGCCCTTCCGAACATCCATTAGAATTGGGACAATATAGAGAAGGCATTAATAGAAAACAAATAACGCCAGTTCTATTAAACCACCAGTACTTGGGCACTGCGCGCCGCGCCGGCCGCCCAAATCTCGAAGCAGCGCGGGCTGTCGATTCGATTTATCGACGGCCCGCCGGCCGCGGAAATCGCGTAGCGTTAACGCTAAGGCGTCGCCCAAGTACTGGTGGTTTAAATCCCTGCAAACGGAGGAGATCCTGACACACATTAGTAGAAAAAAAAGAACGAGAAAAAAACAAAACAAAAAAAAAGCAAAAAAAAAAAAGGCAGTTAAACTCCAATCAAGCAAACAACCACTAGTCAGATACTGAGGGCCTCGCTCCACTACTCATCACATGCACAAAGGACAAAAATTCCCAGTGCATCTTTCCCTGTTCCAGCAGAAGATTCATTCTCATTTTGCACATTTGGTGAGTAGTGGAGTGAGGCCCTGAGAATGGAACAAAGACAGCTTCAGAAAGCTTCAAGGAAAGAAAAAAAAAAAGAAAGCTTCAGAAAGCTTCAGAGACAAAAAAAAAGAGCCTTCAGAAAGCTTCAGAGAACATGGCTGTGCCGGCAACCGGCCGGTTGGACTGGCCCGGATCCAACCGGGCTGGTTGGACCCCCGGTGGTCCAACCGGAATTCCGGTTGGGTCCAAAACTGGGTCAAAAAAAAAAAAAAAAAAAAAATTGAAAACATGGTTGGACTGCGCTCACCGAGATCTC